GTTGTATGAAACAACTTGCTGTGCTGTCACTGTTCTGTGCTGTTGCTGAACTCAGTTTACAAACAACACCCATATACAAAACGTCAGGTTGGGGGGGGAGATAGAATATGGACATGAGAAACCAAACAGTCTGAGTGAAGAGAAGTACAAGGACACAATAATGTTCGCCAGAAAACGGGAAAATGTACGGACATTTCCAAAAGACACAACACATGATGCCCGGTTCCAAACACAGTTTGGCCATTTCGGAGGATGATCTTTCGCACGTCACCGGCCGCTTACAACAGGACCAATCCTTTAATTGGGACAGGAAGAGTTCACTGCAGTGCTTTTCAACCTGGGCGACGTATGACCCACTTGTGGTCATTTCCTTCACTATACGGTCATTTCGGCGGTGGGCGGCGGGAATCACCCGGGAAGTGAAAAGTATTATCTAGTGTCTTGCTTGAAATAATAATATTATGTAGGTGGATGTTGCAAAAATGTTACCCTCTGAAAGGTGGAAAAATGTGGGCGTAGGCTATAAAAAAAAAAGATAGATACGTTCTTGTTTAGTGTGTGAGGTAAGAACGTCATGACAGACTTGCAGAGTCTTAATCACCACCATTGGCACACTTTAGATCATTTTGGTGGTGAGCTCCGACCTTGACTGCCGGTCACGACCAAACATGGTTGAGAGGAATACAACCTCCCAGCAGAGGGACCGAGATAAAAATTTCTCCGCACACGGGAATCAAACTCAGGTGGTCTTTTTCGTGCGCCGCTGGCGCTTAATTAGTGCTACCCCTCACACACACGTGGTGACAATTCAAGAGATTATGACAGGGGGCTCTCGTGGCCTATAGAGGTTAAGATGTTCGCCTCTCTTCTTCTCTAAAATGTTCTCCTTTTACATCCTTTCCTGCTCTCTAACAATGTTCTGTCGTCTGCTTTCGTCTCCACTTTCTGCCCCACCCCCTCACCTCCTTTGCTCCCTCTGGGTTCCTGACTCTTTCTGTACGTTTCAACTGCTTCTTCTTGGCTCCTTCTTACTACTGTCTTTCAGCAACACCCCTGATCTTATGGTAGGTAAGATCTACAACTTGCCCTCTCAGACAAGGGCGAAAAATCTCGGAGGATCCCGGGTGCATGCACCGTTAAAGATCCCTCGGTGGTCCAAAATCGATAACAGTAGGCTTCGGCCGCCACCCGGGCAAAATTCAAAATTTTCCTACCACCTGAAAATGTACGGTGTGTCCCGCGCTCATATGACCTTATGCAGTTGTGAGTGCTGTAAAACACATACCCCCCCCCCCAAAAAAAAATGAGAAAAAAAAGAGATTAGAAATACAGTAACCCTGAAGAAAATCACAAGGGACAGGCCATCGACCACCTACAGCTATCAAGTGAGGCAAGCAAACCAGATACACCGGATTACTCTTTCTTCGATACAAGTCTCCATGGGGAGTAGTTTCCGTAGCACTTTCAACACAACAAGGTGACACACGTGCTGAAGAATTGGGGTGTTATAACTTGAGAGTAATGTGCACAGTGAAATATATACATAGTGGCGTCGGTGGCCTAGTGGTTAGGCTCTCGGACTCGCAACCGTAAGGTCGTGGGTTCGAATCCCGTCAAGTGCCCGACGTTGTGTCCTTGGGAAAGGCACTTT